TAAACGCAGCCAATGATTTATGATTAATTAAATTATGACTGTTAAAGATTTTTTTGTATGTAAGCGTACAACACCACTCATATAACGGGAGTCTTTAATTTATACTTAACTAAACTGGATTCTGTTACATTTTAAGTCAAGTTTTACAAATGGGATTAAAATGAATTAACCGAACACATTGTTACTCGTTAAGATTATTTTTGAACATAGAATTTAATAAATGAATGTTAAATAAAAATTGGAAAAGGAAACGTAGAGAAAGAGAGAGTTAATGGAACACTTCATCGTATCTGCGTGGGATTTCAGTCAACAAGTATATTTTTCCTTGTATAAAGAAGTTTTAAAATTGTATTTCTTAGCCACTGTAGGTTCTAATAAATTGCAGCTCTTGTATGTAGTGTAAAGGCTTCTAACTTTTATATTTAAAATTCGTTGTGTTCAACAGTGCACTAGGGATCTGATATTATCAAAATATTGACTCCATAATTATATTTATACATTTATGGCCTATAAATCCACAGGCCTACTCGGTTATTAGTACCTTATTAAGTATCTCAAGTTCGAGATAGTTTAGGCGGAAGTAATACTTGCTTATGGTTGATTGGACTAACGCTTCAAAGACTACCAAATTCCAATCAGCCAGGATAAGTGACCGTGAGATAGAAAAATTACTAGATAGATGTACTATGTTTTAATCAAGTTTTTTTATGTTGTAAGTTACACCTATTAAACTAGGTCATGCGTGGTTAGCGCATGCGACAACTATTACAAATAATTCGAGTGACGAACGCTCGTGTCGCTCCTACTAAGACAGGGGTATGTCTCTTATTGACCAGGTTCAGCTAATGCGCATTTGAGCTTATTTATTAATTCATTAAACTTAATGCGCAAATTAATGTACCGGTGGACTTAATACTTAAGGTATTATCTACCAATCAAGCAATTGGGCGTTCCAAAGAAAGGATGAGGTAGGTGCACTTAAGAAAAAAGGTAATGCAAAAAAATATAGAAGAAATGAAATATCAAAAGTAGATAGACAAATTTACCTACACAGTCATCATCAGCCTATCGCAGTCCACTGCTGGACATAGGCCTCTCCCATTGCACGCCACTTAGATCGATTTTGGGCTTCTCGCATCCAGCTCCTGCCAGCCATCTTGCGCAAATCGTCACTCCACCTGGCCTGTGGGCGTCCTACACTACGTTTGCCGAGACGCGGTCTCCACTCAAGAACTCGTTTTCCCCAACGGTTATCGGTTCTGCGGCTAATATGGCCAGCCCACTGCCACTTCAACTTGCTGATCCGGTACGCTATGTCGGTGACCTTAGTTCTCTGCCGGATCACCTCATTTCTGATGCGATCCCTTAGAGAAACGCCGAGCATAGCCCTTTCCATAGCACGTTGAGCGACTTTGAACTTGTGGACCAGCCGTACCGTAAGTGTCCACGTTTCAGCTCCGTATGTCATGACGGGTAGGACGCACTCATTAAAGACTTTCGTCTTAAGGCACTGTGGGATCGACGATGAGAAGACTCGACGTAGCTTCCCAAACGCTGACGGGTGTTGCCAAGGTAATGTAGATATTATTTAAAATTATTTACGTCATTACCCGTCTCATTGATTAAAAAATCCTGATACTAAAATCAGATCGGGGCTGAGAGCTAGAGAGAGAGATTTTTAAATATTTAGGGACAAAAGGTTTTGGTTAAGCTAGTTTGATACTTTTTTGAGGCCGACCTCAGTCACTTTCCGCACTGCTTCCAACGAGATACCAGAAAAAATAAACGCAGTGTCATCCGCGTAGGTGAATATTCTTCCCCCGAAGATATGAAGGTTATACAGTTCGTTTATATAGACAAGAAAGGGCGTCGGGCCGAGGACACTCCCCTGCGGGACGCCAAAACTGACATTTGCCTTGGAGCCAATAAAGGAGTCTATTGTTACTTCTTGTGTTCTATCATTTAAGTAACTGTCAAAGAGTGAGAGTGCGTTTCCACGGATACCGATGCTCTTAAACCTGCGCACAAGAATAGGAAAATAAACTGTATCGAAGGTCTTTTCTAAGTCTAGAAAAACCGTGAGATATTGATATCCTTTATGATTGATTCTTTTAATATATGGGAAGTTAGATCCAAAATGGCATTCTGCGTTGATAAGCCTTTTCTGACACCATATTGATAGTCTGATAAAATATTGTACTTGTTTAGGAACCCGAGTAGTCTGGTGTTCATTAACTTCTCAACTATTTTTGAGATTGAGGTCAAAAGGGAGATGGGCCTATAATTGTTAATATCAGTTCTATCCCGACTCTTATACACAGGTGTTACTAACGGTCGCTTTAGGAAACAGGGGAATACTTCTGAATCAAAACAAAGATTTGCTAGTTTACTTATTAATGGGACTAAAAAGTCATTGAAGATCTTTATAAACTTTGTGGAGATCCCGTCCCACCCAGGAGCACTTCCAGAATCAAATCCCACAAGAATGGAGTTTACTTCCTGCGGATCGGTATTGAACAGAACAAATTAAAAGGAGTGTGTTGACAGAGTAACCAATGTGTTGGGAGCCAGTACGTTCCACAATGATTTTAGCTAGGTTTTCTTCAAAATTAACAAAATAAGTGTTACAAAATTAACTGAGTTTTGTGGAACCTCAAGAAGATAATAATATAAATAATATGACTTTCTTTGTATTGTCTGCCTTTCCATGCTTTTGCATGTATACTGTAGGAGCAAGGTATTTAAATCTGCTAGTGCAGTATACATAAAATTTGACACTCTTTAAATGCAGGTATAATATATAAGCTTGTCCCCAATAACGTAAGCAGGACCTAATGACAACAAAATGTGGATGTTTAATACAAGGTGTATGGAAACCCTATGTATACATAATATTATTTATTAATAATATTTCGGACGTCTAACACATAACGTTATCTTGTTCCAAACTAAGCAGATCTTCTACTATGAAAGCTAGAATACTTATATACTTTTTAAGTACGAAAGACATATTACCAGATCATACAAACATTTGGTCCGACCTGGGAATCGAAACCGATACTTTGGTATTGTAGCATAATGTATGTATGCGAAAATAATATATTTGTTCTGAACTCAATAGGGTTTAAGCTTCGGTTTTCACGAGTACTTTAAGAACAAATATAAGATAACGAGACTTCCCCAGGATGTTGAACTTTAATGGTCGACTTAAACCAATTAAGACAAAACAGAAGCCAGGCAGCGGTCTTGCCCATATCTATAACGTAAGTACTAAGTTTTTTTTTGCGAAAATCAGTACGTAAATTATGACAGCAAATGAAAATGTCAAGTATAGCATAGTACATAGTATGTTAGTAAAAGCTTACACATAATATAATACATAACATAACATAGATTGTAAGCTCACGCATTGCTTGTATTGTACGTTCTACAATGGTTTTGTTGATTATATTTGGTTTATATGGATGAGTGTAAGTTGCTACTTGAACTTTTTGTATAAATATATTTATAAAATAAAACTACCTACCTTATTATCAATATCATTTTTAATATCATGAGTTGCTAAAAAGATGCATAACTATAAACTACTACTAAATAAAGCTACATAAAGTAAACTAATACTCACATTTGCGCCTCATTATAGTTTTGATTACATACAATAAACAAACACAAATAGAATCCATTTATACAGCAGAACTGCGTGACTACAAGCTGAATAACTTGAAATTATTCCCGACATACGTACAAAACCGCAACTGATCTGACGATCGCAGAGCGAATCTTCACGGTTCCAAAGTCACGTACCTCTTGTATAATATCTGGAAATTCAGTGGGACCATCTAAATTGGTACGAGCCGGATAATAAACGGACCGGATACAGCGAAGTGAGAGGATTTATGAAACTAGACTTGGTATTAAAGTTGGCCGTTTGATACGTGCTGAGTTCAAAGTTGAAATTATAATGAAAGTAATGCTGTAGTTACAAGTATATCAGTACATTAAACTAGTATAATTTATTTATCTAATCCTTTTTATGAGTTATTATGTGTTGATTATGTATTTATAACTTTATGCACTTTTGTACATTGGCAGACTTAATGCCCAAGGCATTCTCTTCCAAGATAATTGAGAGAAATTTACATTTCTTTTATTAAGAAGCATGATTGTTTTTTGTTTGCTGAAAATCTTACATACCCACGAAAACATTACCTAAATCTAGGAAAATTAAAAATAAACTGTCAAAAAAATCGTTAAATTACATTGCAAAATCCGTTGGGTGGACATCGTAAGAAAAAATTGACACTTCTTTATTCTTGGTACCAGCTGATTAATTATTGTCTCACATAAGCCTGACATAATCATCACAATGTTGCAGAACTTAAATATTTAGTATTTAAGTAGTTCTAACCTGACAGTACTACAAAAGTTGCTCCATTATTGATCTAAGTAATGAGAAAGAAGTTAACGACCGCTACACTGGCTCTACTCATGGGCTGGCACTATTACTTATAGGTTTTTATTTTTTATTTATTTAATACTTTATGCACAAAAAAAAATTTTCAAAGGTGGACTTAATGCCGTAGGCATTATCTGCCACTCTACCTTGAGATGGCGTAGAGATGAGTGATTAGGTGCACTAATCTCAATAACAAGACTTAACCAAGAAATACATACACAAAAGGATACGCCAACAAAAAGGCGGTTAGAAAAAGATTTTCAGTCACTGTTGAATATTTTTTAAACAACTGATCAAAATACAAGATTTAACATTGGACTTGGGTGCCAGATATTTATAGAAAAACAAAAAAATATATAGGTTTTAGTTAAAAAAAATACACAAATTCAAAAAAGCAAATTTAATAATAAGAATTAGTTTCCGCTGTTATTAGAACGTATATTTATCAAATGTTCATAAGGACATAATACTTTACTTGAATATTGCATTAACATAATTATTATTTAGCAGTTTATATTCACTATCATTCTATTGTTTATTGTCATCACCACTGAGGGTTTATTCCGCTTTGTTCTGTGTAGCATTTCCAGGGAAGTTTTCCTTCGGCCATACAGTCATAAACGCCTTGTTCCCCAAACGATGCCGTACCACCCAAATTTGTTGAGCCGATCACTGCAAAAAAATATATAATTTCTGTAGTTTGATATATATTTGTTCTACTGTGTAATATATGATCGGCTCCTGTTTTTTTATTGGGTAATGATTAAGTTCGATAGTGCACTGTTTTCGTAGCTAAAGATTCTATCACAAAAAACACTAACCACTACCTACTACCTACATATTTATTACATTAGGTACTAAACCATAATAGTTGTATCACAAATCAGCTTAGATTATATTAAATTCATTATTATGTTAAATCGCAATGATTAAATCATATCCGCATTGATTTATAATATAAATAGCAAACCGTCACAGAACCTCCAAGGTTAAATAATAAATATTCTTTGCATGTTTGCAAGTACTAAAATACGAACATTAAAATCGTGAATGTTCTTTTAAGGTTACATATTGTAATTTAAAAAAATATAATTCAAAATTTCAAATATACTACATTTTATAATTAAGAAGAATTGAAATAAAACATTCACAAAATTTCGGATTTGTTGTTTTAAAAGAAGAATTTGATACATTTCTTTTAAAATAATCTAGATCAAACTTATGTTAGATAAAGAGGTTAAGTTAAAAAAGACTAACGAATTCCCAGAAATCCCGCAATTCAATTATAGAAATATAATTGAATTGTGGGATTTCAAACCCACAGTAATTTAAATGAACACAAATATAAATATTGAAAAATACACTTGTTTTTCTAATTGTAAAATTCTAACATTTGTTACAACATATTTTATATATCGCTAAGAAGGTAAAGTACCATGTTTGATAGTAACCACTCGACTAAAGCCTTTAGACGTCAGCAACGCCGAAAGACAAAGACACCGTAGGCACGCCATGACTAGTGACCCGTACACAATTATTATGTATTTACATTTACACTAGATTTAAATAAGATATAATGTAAGGATATAAATCAAATGCTTAGTTTTGATTAGACTATGCAGGCATCTAGACAATTTATATTAACATTCAACTTTGTTTTTAAATGCGTTCTGCAGTTGATATAACTGCATATTCTACATAACAGGTCTTTAATAAGTTTCTTGAACAAAAAAGTGGGACAATTATAACAAAAGTTGTCGCGGTAAACGTAGTATTTTATAATCTTTACTCCCTGAAGAGATATTAGATTAAGACATTCATGATAATCAATTTGGGTAATAATCTATTATAGTAGATATATTGCTTACTTAAAGATAATAATATAAACTTCTAACATCTATTCTGAGACTTAAAATTACTTTACACATTAATAATAATTCCATTAAGCCAGTTTCTCAGAATGGATGTAGAAGTGGCACTAAAGAGCTCCTTATCATAGACAGGACCATTAGTCAACAGGTACATCGTAATCGTAAGAGTTTGGCGACATATTGGATAGACTATAAGAAGGCTTATGACTCGGTTCCACACATGACTTTTGAAGGTGCTGGAGTTGTACAGAATTGATACAACTCTGTGCACTTTCTTGGAGCCATGTATGAGGCAATAGAGTACAGCACTTCGCTATCCAGGATGTCGGCAGACTGCGGTAAACTATTTACCAATAAAGGTCGAGCGGTCTATATTTCAAGGTGATAGTCTGAGTCCATTGTGGCTTTGTCTGGCTTTGAACCCTCTCAGCACTCTAATAGAGGGTTCAGGGTAAGGCTATAGGTTGCAGAGAGATGATCAAGTTATATCTTACTTTCTTTATGTATATTTTTTTGTTTAGGACTATTGTTGCCAATAAGCCTGATATTGTATCAATGATTGTTGATATCGCCATTCCTCATAAAGAGAATCTCGTGAAAGGTAAAAAAGAAAAACATATAAAAATGCTTGGATTTATCTCACGAGATTGTCTATATGTGGAATGTCGATTCAGTGATAATTGTTCCGATAGACGACTATCGGAACAAGTATCACTGAGATACAAATACGCTATCAATCCGTGAGCAGATTCGAGATACGAATCTGCTCACGGATTGATAGCTATGAGCCTCGACCAACACCTTAAGAGGCTCATGTTAGACGGCTGGATCAAGCATCTGATGCAGAAGGCAGTTCTCCTTGACACGGCTCATATAGTGAGGAGGTTCCTGTCTTTGGAATCCTAACCACCGGTGTCTTGGTCCCTGTACCCGATGTCGGTGGTCTACTATTTTTCATATTTATAATTTTTTTTTTTTTAATTCATAATGTATTTAAAAATGCAATCAATATGTATATATAATGTAATAAAGAGAATAATAATAATATTTTCGGACGTCTAAAACACAACACCATCTAGTTTAAAACTAAGCAAAACTTGTACTATGAAAGATTATGCCGATAGAACACTTTTATACTTTTTTGTATATTATACATAGAACACAAACAAAACCAACATGATGCCATAACTGCTCACAAAATCGAATGTATTTCGCACGCAGAAAATGCATGCAATGATCTAAGTAGTAAAAAAAAAACCTATATGAGTTTGACTCGGTACTTCTAAGTATTTTATAATAAGCGTACGTATTCAGTTTAAAGTAGTTAAACAACTGATATCAAATATCAATGATGGAAATTCAAAACTCCAAACAGCGCCGACAGCAGCCGATAGTTTATTTGGTTTGATACATTATTAATGTAACATGTTCCGCGTGACACGCCCCCTCCTCTTTGTAAAGTCAACATTGACTGCGAGTAAGTTCTAAGTTTATTCATAAATGTGAAGTTTATTGACTATAGGGAAATAAATTTACTTGCAAATATCAGACGGTATTCGAAAAGAACCCCAATCGCTTATCTTAACAACCAATGTGTAACGTTTAAGTTACAGATTGTTATATTGCTTCTAATACTCTTTGTTTGCTTTTATGGAAAATGTACGATTATATTTCTATTAATATTACATTTTTTATTTAGTTTTTATGGTACTGAGAACTCGATCTTATACTCAACGTTCAACGTTCAAAGATCATTGGGTCTGAAGTAAATATATTTCTGGCTATTTTGATTTTTAAATATACTTGTTATATTGATTATAAATTATTAATATTCTTAAACCATCCGGTTAAGAGCTTATTTTAGGAGTTAGTTCTAGTCAGTAAGACACTGGGTGGGGTTTGAACCTGCTACTACTTGATCGCAAGTCCCACGCCCCCACCGGTACGTTATCGCCAATAGTATTTACCTTTGTGGATTAGAATATTTATACAAATATATACTTACAAAAATCAGCGCTGCGTTTATTCTTTCCCTGTAACCAATAACATTTTCTGTAACTAGTATTATAGATGTCTCATTAAAATAAAGTTTCACCTGACCTCGACGCATTTTTAAAGTAAAGGCAATAAAAAAGTGTATGCTCATGTGTACATAATAAATACTTCCCTTGCATATAAATCATTTATCGTTTTATACCTAGAATTTACTCAGACTCACAGCCAAATTTCAGTAAATCTCACGTTATTTTTAATGGTTCAATGCTACATCGTTTAACTTTCAACCTCTCCGCCAATCATTCAGCCCATTAGTCGCAATTATTCATCACCAACTCACCAACAGTATTTATTAGCTTCACATCAAACAAGTAATATCATAAACAAATTTTAGAATATTATTTCAGCCTATTTCTAATGCAAAAGCGTGTCCAAGTGTGTTTTTCGGGGCCATTTTGCGATTGAGTGATGCAATTTTATGAAGTACTAAGTTTTGTTACAGTTAAGTAACATCTCAATCATGATGGTTGTATTCTTAAAATTTATGTAATTTCAATTTTTGCTTATTTAAAACGAGTAGTAATAAGCCATGGAAACGTTCATTGCGTGTGGTGTGATATGCACTTAAGCAGTGTTTTAGACTGGTTTTTAACTTTATAATTATGTAAGTAATATGTTTTGGTATTTTGGACATGAAAATTATATTATAAATGAGTGGCTTCAATAATACTCTGCCTTTTTAATGTGTAATATGAGACTCTTTGTTCTATATATAGAACTGTTTGATAATTATAAATCTCGATACAACAGTCTGTCGTTTTAAGATGTTTCATAAACGCAATAAAGGATTGTAACTGTTGTAATATTAATAACAATGACATGAAATAACGACAGACATATAAATTAATAACATTTATGGAAATATTAATTTAATCAGAGAATAATTTTAAAACGTGTTTTAATGAATTCTCTTATAAAGTATTCATCTATATATATATATATATATAAGAGATTTCCACGTATACAGTCACTCATCACGATATCTCTGGAACCATTAGAGCTAAAGACTTGAAATTTGGTAGGAATATTCTTTTCATCGAGTAGAGGTCAGCTAAGAACGGATTTTAAGAAATAAAAATAAAATAAAAATGTAAATAGCAAAGCAACGTTTGCAGGGTCAGCTAGCATATAGCACATACATGTAGTTGCATATTGAATTAAAATAAAGATTGTGTCTCTGTGTGTTAAGCTAAACATCTATGTAAACATTTTGGATTGCAAAACAAAGAAATAACTTGACTTATTGTTATTAAATATATTATACCTAACTATCACGTCAGTCTAACTAGTATGAAGAGCGTATTGAAATCGATCAAATGAACATGGTTCAGTTGGGACCTAATCATCATAGATATTAGAATTAAAGAATATTTTTGTGTTCATATTACACATGTCTTTTAATACACAAATTTCAAAATATTCATTTAAAGAATTCAATGTTAAATAAAAATAGAAATGATAAAAAAAAATATCAATGTTAAGAAAATATATATTCATATTTTATAAATAAAATATATTTATATTCAATTTAAATAAATAATTTTTATACGTAACTCACAGCACTGACGATTGCCATTCCGACCAAAACAGTAACCAAAACAAAAGGTAATCTCATGACGATTAGCATCCAGCACTGCAACAGCACAGAAACGAACTGTCTTGTCAAGCGTTAAATGTTGCCTCACTTAATAAAGGCTTTCGAGGCAGTGGCAGACGCTTGCTAACGAGACTACCTTGGCAAACGCTACAAGTCATGGAAAATAGCGGTTTGCCCTGACGTCTTCGTTAGCGGAATAAGAAACTTTTGTGATAAAATTTCACTTTATTTTATCTTTATTTTGCGCATTTAATATCTGGTTATTACTATTAAAGTATTAATTATTGGCTTAACTTACTTGACTCAATGTCCCGAATCCCGTATGAAAGAGATTTCACGGCAAATCCCCGCCCTTCGGTGGTATAGCCAATTCAGTTCGCGGTGTTTAATCTGATGGTCGTTCGGCGTTTCGTGACAGCCTTCCAACAGCTGATGGTTCGAGATATTCTCGGACCAAATTACGTGTTTACTTTCTGCAACAGGTACAACTTTTTCTATTATTATTATATTGTTTATTAGATCAAGTTAAATGAATATAAAATATTAGGAATGGACTTCAGAATGTCATTATCAAGTATATGTGACAAAAAGAAGATACACCATAATGCCAAGAAACTGATGATATGTTACATCTTCTTTTAGCATCCTAATAACCAAAGGAATGTCTACACCTGATCCATTACATTAAAATATTATTTACGTTTGTTAGCGGGGGCAGACGAGCAGACGGGTCACCTGATGGAAAGTGACTATCGCCGCCCATGAACGTTTCCAACTCAGGAGTTACGAACGCGTTGCCGGCCTTTTAGGAAGGAGTACGCTCTTTTCTTGAAGGTTTGAAGGTCGTATCGGTCCAAAAATACCGCAGACGATAACCCGTTCCACAGATTGGTTGTGCGGCGCAAAAAGTGTCTCGAAAGTGTCACGTGTAAACTAAATATGATTGTATGTTTCTTATCGACATTTTAGCGTAATTAAGAGTCTACAAGTTCGTCACTACACGTAAACCGTACCACATCAGATTCTCCACGCGTACAACTTATACCACGTTTCTAAACCAGTTCATAGTATGATTAGAACCACAACAGTGCGGTACGTATTTATTGCAACAACGACACTGTTTTGATTGTCTTCTGGTCCTAAAACATGTAATATGCTAATTACAAAGAAGTTGTCATCAGTAGTAGAGATAAAAACGAATATTGAAGTAAGTAGGTACTTTGTTGAATCTATTTATAAAGTGACTGAAGCTTTAGAAACACTACAATCATTTTTTTATGAAATAAATACTGCAAAGTTACGTCGTTGCAACTAAGAAAAATATGTCATTGGAATAAAAAACTTTATTTCAGTGCCTGGATGGCGTAGTGGCCTAAGCGGTCACCTCGCCGCTTCCTACTGCGCTGAATGTTGTGATTTCGATCCCCGCATTGGAAAACAGTTTCTGTGTTACACAAATTGTTCTTCTGAGGCTGGGTGTTCTTTGTGCCGTTTCATGTATGTTTGTAAAGTCCCCTGCGACACAGAATATATTCCTAATGCAGGAGTTGACCTAAAAAAAAAGTGTTTTTCACTATTTACAGATTCTTACAGAAGGAACTTTCCTAACTATTCTTTGAATTTATTTTAATTGAAGGTACTTACATAGCTAGATAATAATTAACTTAGGTCCACAGAATCACATTTCAGTGTTAAACATTTTTTTATTTAAATTTTAATAAACATCAGTTAACTTAAGTGACTAAGCCCGTTCACGGTACCTGAACATATGGGAGAATCATTTAAGGTAATTTAACTTGCCGCCGAACTCTTAAGAATTGCGGAGCAATATGTATAAATAATAACTAGGATTTTTTCAGGGCTCGACGCGATAGCAGACGTTTTTCGATATCATTTATTCAAAACTCACTCTAAACCATTTGTATCATAAAGTAATATAGTTATCGTATCTAACACCTACAACGAAAAGCGTATAATGTTGCGAGATTTAAAGTCATTAAACGCGAGAAAGGTGTGAATACACTGAAATAAAGTTTGTACTCTATCACTATTGCGTACCGCTGAGCTCTCCAGACGCGACGTATTAGAGTACTCGTATAGGGTAAGAACTTTAAAGTCAATAGACCCATTAGCAAGTTATAATGTATTTCTGCAGACAACGCCCCTACCTCTCTAATAATAACGTTTTAATTAAAATATTTTAGTGGAGAATTCTTTAATCTGTAATAAAATCTTAAATTTAATTTAAAAAATCTAAACCCTATTTTGCACTGGTCTTTCTTGTTCCTGTGTACCATTTGTTAACGACTACGATGATTTACGAATATAGAAAAGCTTTCATAGTACAAGCTCCGCTTAGTTTGAAACTAGATGGCGTTGTGTGTTAGATGTCTGAAATATTATTATTATTATAGAAAACGCTAGTAGTCAAAACTGTTAAACAATATTAAGTACTAGATGACCCGGAGAACCTTATATCACCTACATCTATATGTCTAATAGTCCAATAATTAAATAACTAAAAAACTACTAATTAAATAACTAAATAACTATTAATTAAATAACTAATAATAATAATTGAAATCTCTGCTCGGATTCTACTTTTGTTTCCAGTTTTCAAGAGTTCACATTCCGGTTCCTAATAGTAAATTATAAAATCATAATAATCTGTTTCCATACAGGAAGTACAGGCCATATCATATCGTAATGGAAAACTACAGCAATCACATGATGGTAAGGATTCAATTTTATCAACATTTTTTCCCAAGATTTTTAACAAATGAAATCACGAAACGAAAGAAAAGAATTCTCCAATGTATAATTTTAACCTGTTTTATATAATTTGTTTAACGTTTTATCCAATATTTTAAACGGAATAGAAACCCATGATACTGTTATACAGGTATAATATAGTTAAATTACTATTAAGGAAGTTAGGCAAGTATTTTTAACCTAGCTGCCTATGATCGTGATAGTTTTTGTTACAACTCTTGCATATTTTTAGTCGACTCAATCTTGTAGGTATATAGCGGTCTATTAAAGGAGTTGACTCACTATTAGTATTCATTACAAATATGGTGACACTATTTATTTGCATTTATTCAACCTAAGTACATGATAATTCGAATATTGTGTATAACATATGTTGTCGATTCGAAACCATTATTTAATACCTAATGTTTTTTTAATTTCAAGAGATCTGAATTTATCGTATCGACGACGGCATCAAATGTGTGACATGAGGAACACTTTATATAGGAAAATAAAATCGTTGTTTTACTATTCTCCTCGCATTATTTCTATATTTAGGAAAATTTGGCCAAATCGATAAAGCTATTCTAGAGTTTCAGTAAGAATAACGAACAGCAAAACATTATATATATAAAATATAGAAACTGTCTGAACAGAAGAATATGAGACAAGCTGTAAGGTAATATAAACACGTACCGTTTGAACTTTTAACACTATTTATAAAGTGGTTTCACATAAAACAAACGATTTTCACTAAGGTTATATGGTTTGCAGGATCAAAAAAGTGCTCCACTTCTAAGGTATAATCTAATTTCGCGAGAGATCTCGACCTTATGATTTAATAGCTTTTTACGAAGTTTTCATTGTTCATTGCCTGATGTGTTTTTTACTCCTCCTAAAACGAATCTAATTATAGTAGGCAACAGAGAAAACGATGCCCATTTATGTAAAAATTAATAATAAAGAAAATTGCCTTGATCCTTGAAGACTTTAAAATTACATATTAAATTAACATTACACATTACCAGTATTTTGACTGGCCAGTTGGTCCAGTGGTTAGTGACCCTGACTGCTACGCCAGAGGTCTTGGGTTCGATTCCCATCCAGGACAAATAATTGTGTGATGAGCACGGTTATTTGTTCTGTGTCTGGGTGTACTTTATCTATAATGTTTATCAGCAGTCTGGCGACCATAGTTACAGGCTCTGCCTAATTTGGGATCAGACGGCCGTGTGTGAGATAATTATAATTATTAATTTTGGTTAATTTTTTGATCTCAGCTATTATCTAGCCATCGTCTAATAATATTTCCTTCGATTTCATTAAAGAGCAATGACTAGTAATAAATTTTAATAAGCAGTTATCTAATGTGTAGTATATTTAATTATTAATATTTAAGCTTTTAACTTAAAACAAACATTTATTTGTCACCAACAGGATATGGTTTAATTTACATCATCAGAAAAACAAAACAATTTAGATATCTGGTGATACCATTAATTAAGGAAACCTTTAAGTTGCACCATAATGGTCTTTTATGACACACAATTTGTGTCACTTACTTAAAATTAGTGTAAGCAGGTGTAGATATTAATTAATTATTTTTTAATCGATTAATTTATTTGAATAATTTTGATCAAATTGAATAAATAAGCCGTCAGTTAATTTGTGTGACCTGTGCTTGTTTAGCATAGTCGTATAAGAAATTTTTCTTTCAGCTGAGTCAGAGGATGGTATTACAAAGTTATCCTGTTATAGGCAAATAAAAAAATAACATCCTAATTACTTTTCCATATAAAAATTATCCGAATCCATACTATAATAATATTAGTAATGGGAAAGTGTGTCTGGCTGTCTATATGTCTGTAACCTCTTCACTCATTTTTACTCCTCTCATTTTTACTAAAGTATTAGCTTTTTTGTTTGTGTTTGTCTGTATAATTATTCATAGCTCTTTCCATAACTCACTGAGCGACTGCGTAGTTCGTCTTCCAGTCACCAATGATAGACCACATTACCAACAGAGTACGAGTATCCAACAAAATAGTAATTATCCCTAAAAGTAGTGCGAATAAAATATAAGCCTACGCAACGCTAAATAGGATAGGACCGAACGCAACAGAGGACTGCTGTGGACGCCCTCTGCCCCATTTCAGGGACTTAGGACATTTTAAGTCAAGTAAGTTAACGCTAAATAGGCCTAGTAGTATAGTGTTGTATTTAAAGACGGTATCCGAGCAGGAACAGAATATTATTGCTATAAATAT